GGGTCTTGCTGAGTTGCTTAGAACCTTGCTGAGTTGCTGATGCAGGCTTGAATTTACAATCCTCTTGTCTCAGCCTCCCAAACCACTGGGATTACAGACATGCGCCACTGCTCCTAGCTCATTTTAGCTTATTATTCTAACTGTATTCCCTACCAATGTGATTTGTACCAGCATCCATCTAATCACCAAAACTTGAAATGTAGAGATTATTTCCCATTCTTCAAGTTCTGCCTTTTCCTACTTGTGCAAATGGTCATTGAGTCTTGAAATCATGACATTTTACCCCAGAATGCCTCTCAAAGCTATATCCCTCTTCTCTATACAGCATCCTCTATTGTAGTTTCATCTTTTATTACTCTGCTTAACTATTGTAGTAGTCCCTTTCTTACTCCCCAACTTTAGAGTTCAGGCTCCTTTTCAATTCATCTTCAACAAGAATACTAAAATGATGTCTCTAAAATTCAAATTTTGTGACATCACACCTTACATTAAAATCTTCACTGAGTTTAAGGTAAAAAACATGCTCCTTAAATAATGTCCTTAGCAATCAATCCTGTCTCGGTCTTGTGTCATTCTCCACACTTAATGTGAATCGTAACTCCTGGCATGTTTTTCTGAGTATGCCATGTTCTTTCATATTTCTGTTTACCCAGTCTGTTCCTTCTATCCTGTTCCCTCAACATCTCTACTCCTATCCCTTCCTTACCTAATTTATTTTTGTCCTTTAAGATGAACTTAAAAGTGTGATCCTCTAAAAATGTATGGACACATATCTGCCCCTTAAATTTGAAGGGAAAATAGAGAATCAGGTCAGATGCTCTTCATCTGTATATATTCCCATAGCATCCTATGTATAGGATTTATATTTGTAGTGATTTTGCAGTGCTTCTCAAAGTTTGAAGTATACTCAAATGTAGAGAAAATGATATTATACATGCAGCCTGCCTGAAACCCTAAAATGATGTCATTTTCTACTATATTTGCCTTAAAAATATGGAAAACTTACATTCAATTCTATAAATAGGCATATTTTATTTAATATAAAGACATGTAAAATTATTTTTCCTGGAATAAAACTGATCACCGTTAAAGATGATAATGTTTATCCTGAAATTTTTAGTGTTCACTATACACTGCCCCCTCCTGTTCTCCAGAAATTTTTATTAGCCAAGTTTGAAAAAGAGAAAAGTAAGCACTTTGATGGCAGGACACTAGGCCTGTTAACCTCTATGTTCCTAGCATTAAGCCATGTCTAAGCACAATAGATGTTTACTATTAATTAAAAAGTAATTAAATGAAAGTTCAGAATTGGAATAACAGTGTTAAATGTTAGCACTGTGAAATTTTTAAATTTTTGTTATTATTCTTACAGAAAAAATAGGACTAATAACACTGTGAAAATTATACTTTTTTTTTTTCTTTTTTTGTGCAGCTGAGGATCAAACCCCGGGCCTTACACATGCTTAGCTAGTGTTCTGTGACTGAACTACAACCCAACCAAAAAATTATGCGTTTCTTAAAAAATCATTCTGTCCTATACCATGTAACAAAATCTTTTTTTAACTTTTTGTAGAGCACAAAATACATAAGAAGACCACATATGTAAGCTTTCACATACTCAATAAACTTTTACATACTCAACACTCTCAAATAACCAATATCCAAATTCACAACAAAACTTTACCTCTGCTTTCCCTCTGTGCTCTCAAGTCATTGCAGCCCTTTTTATAGCATAGATGAGTTCTGCAGAGTTATTTTATACTCAAATACAATTTAAGACAAGTAACAAAACAGAAAAAATTTAGTAGTTACTTTCAGTAATTTACTAACTAGGAGACATAATTAAAAATTATTTATTTCTGATCACATTAATATTTACTGTCTAACACAAAAATGTTAATAAGCATTAAATAATACTCATTATAACTTCTGTGTTAATTAACTATGAGAAGTACATTCCTTTTAAACTCTTATGTCTAGTAGTCATATTACCTGGTTCTTGTTTGACTTTTGTTTGTTTAAACTCGCAGTTCTCAGCAAGAGGGGGGGGCTCCATTTTTTTTTGTCTCCCAGGGGGCATTTGGTAATATTTGAAGACAGATTTGGTTGTCATAACTGAAGGATTCTACTGACATCTAGTGGGTAGAGGCCTGAACTACTGTGAAACTTACTGTGACTTGCTGCTTGTTACAGTTTACAGCCTGCTTCTAATCTAGTGAGAATTAGTCCCATGGGGAAAGCTAGATTTGAAGTAAAAAACATGCCCCCCATGAAAAATAATTTCCTAGATCAAAATGTCAGTCATACCAAGGTTGAAGGTAGAGTTTAATAAAGAATGGTGGCACTAATCTTTCTATAGCCTGTTCAACCCAATCCCAAACCACATGTTCAACATTTTTGCTACTGATTACAAGAGAAACAAAATGAGACAGTGTAGATGGGTTGGTGTGAGTACTTCTGCAAAAACCTCTCACAGCATGATATTAACTTCAAATCTGGCTCTCCCCATGGGACTAATTCTCATGAGGACTAGAAGCAGGGTTGTAAACTGCCACTAGTGGCATTGTTAAATTTTGTTAATTAGTTTCTGAATTAAAGGTCTACAGGCTTGAAGCACAGCAAGTGTAGCCTTACAGGCAGGCAGTTATCCCAGTCCAACAACAGTTTCCCTGCCACCTATTGCGAGGGGTTAAGTGGGGAGTCCAGTTGCTCTCCACAAACATTCTTGCCCATACACCCAGTGATTAGAGAAAGTTTGAAACATAGTAGTATACAAAAGTGCTGGTAATAAGTAGAAATTAATATTTGACAAAGTTATTCTTCATGGCTGTCTTTCAGAAAATAGTTTTGTGTATATTTCACTATGAGCTTATTCTACCTTTTTGTTGTTTGTTTTTGTGCTGAGGCTCAGACTCACGGTCTTGTGCATGCTAAGCAGACACTCTTACTGCCAAGCTACACCACCAGTTCCTTCCTGTATCCTTGACAAGTTGATCTACCATGACCCAAGAGAGCTGCATTTGAACCGTAGTCCTAAAACATTTGTTGATATGTGAGAAATAATTAATTGGAATATGGATAAATTTTTACTTTCATACAAAGTATTTCTCTAAAAATATTACCTGAAGGGCTGGAGTTGTGGCTCAGTGGTAGAGCGCTTGCCTGGCATGTGTGAGGCACTGGGTTCGATCCTCAGCACCGCATATAAAGAAATAAAATAAAGGTCCATTGACAACTAAAGTATATTTAAAAAATATGTGTATTACCTGAGAAAATACTAAACATACCAAGATTTGTGTAGTTGGAACTATAAATGTGGACGCCCTTAAAATTAACGGAGAAAATTAGATTAGAATTTGGCCATTTGACTCTGCTCATTTAACTGTGAAAGCAGATATAAATGAAAACATTCTGTGAACAAAATTATTTGGGATAATTTTCATAAAATAGTTTTATGTTAACTGCATTATCTGTGTTATGAAAGCACATGGTTTAATTAGTACTTTAGTTTTCCTAAGAAAAAATGGAGTGTTTCATAGACCTCTGGGCCTTTTTTTAGATGTTGTTTGGGGGGAGGGATTTTGTTGTTGTTGTTTTGTTTGTTTGGGGTTGTTTTGTTTTGTTTTAGGGAGTCAGGGATTGAACCCAGAGGCACTCAACCACTGAGCCATATCCCCAGGCATTTTTGAGACAGGATCTCGCTAAGTTGCTTAGGGCTTTGCTAAATTGCTGACACTGGCTTTGAATTCACAATCCTCCTGCCTCAGCCTCCTGAGTCGCTGGGATTAGAGGTATGGGCCAACATGCCCAGCCTTTTGTAGTTTTTAATAGAAATTTGGTGTTTTGAGATACATGTAGCATAATGGAAAGAACATTAGCTTTCATATCAAACCTAAGTTCAAATACTGCCATTTGTGAACTGTTGACTTTGAACCACTGTACTCTTCCATGCCTGCTTCAGTACCTGAAAAAAGGGAGAATACTTAAATGGTAATAGCAAAGTAATAAGTAAATAAGGTAATCATGTAAAAGAATGATCAGGAGGAGGAAAGGATAAACATTATTTGGAGTCATAATTTCATTGAAAGGTAGATCATAGTGCTTAAGAGCACATGGTTTGGAGTTGGACACATGGGATCTGGACTCTGGCTTGATCACTGATGACTCTCTGTGCCCATGGACCAGGTACAGCTATTCAGTAGACATAGAATGTGATGTGACTTGTGCAAGATCATACATTGAGTCAAGAAAGAGCAGTTGAGGCTTTACTCTCTTTGTAAGCTTAAGTTAAGCTTTACTCTCCCTGTACAGTGCCTTGCACAGGTTAAGCACCAATAAATGAGGGTGGTAAGTGCCTAGACTGTTCTGAGTTCTGCCAGATAAAATGTGGTACTTAGTCACTTTCCTCAGATAGATTACCTTTGGTTCTGAGAACCACACACTATATTCTAAGTCTTAAAAATTCAGAAGTTAAGTTCTATTACCATATTATACTAATAATGTTAATGCTTCATTTAAATAAAAAATAATGATTAGTATAAATACTAATAACGCAGTTTAAGTACTTTATTGTTTTTTCCTACATTGGCTTTATTTTTAGAACACTTAAGAAACTGTAGAGAGAGGGGCAAACTAGCGTGGAAGCAGAGAGACCAGTGTGAAGGAAGCACAGTAGTCAGCTATGATGGGTGCCCAGATGGGGTGGTGGTAAAAATATAAAAAGACTGTACTTAAGGCTTAAAAAAAAAAGTAAATTTTACTGCTTCATCAAAGATGCTCTAAAGGGCAGTAAACATCTTATTTTTTCACAGCAAGTACATGGCCAAGAAGAACATACAAGTTTTATAGTTTGGTGCCACTTCCTTGCTTTATCACAAGTCACCACCAGTATTACCTACCATTACTTTTATACCATCAGTGCAAATATCACCGTGGTGAAATCCCACTGGATTTTTACAATTCCCAGTAACCAAACTTCATTCTCTCCCCTTTGGCTGCAGATCCAAATTATCTCATGGCTAATGAACGTATGAACCTGATGAACATGGCCAAGCTGAGTATCAAGGGTTTGATTGAATCAGCTCTGAACCTGGGGAGGACTCTAGACTCTGATTATGCACCCCTGCAGCAGTTCTTCGTGGTAATGGAACACTGTCTGAAACATGGCTTGAAAGGTGGGCAGTGGCCTCAAAATGTAAATGTGCATGCAGCTGTTTCCTAGCACTACAGTCAAAAAGAAAGTATTCTTTGAGGAGCTAAAGCATAAGACTTGAATTAATAAAATTAATCCATTGGAGTGCTACCTGTATGGGAGCAGAGCTATGGTTGTCTTAAAAGACTTATAGGACTTAAAAAATACAGATTATTAAATGTTAAGAATTGGAACGGCCATTATAAGTAATTAAATCAAATACAGCAGTTCTATCCAGTTGGCAGGCAATATAGGTCATGACTTGCCCAAGGTCACACAGGGACAGAGCAGGTGCTAGAATTCAGGTTTCCTGACTTTTGTTTCAGTACTCTTTCTATTTAACCACAGGTTTTTGAAGCAGAACCTAGACTTTTCACCTTCACTTTCTCCCTTCTCAATATTCAGTTTGGGAAACAGTCTTTACCATTGGACTATTTTTTTTTTTTTACTAATACCACATGGTTTAGTAATTATTAAATTTTGGTATTATGAGGCTAGGTCACAAATTCTTTCTGAAAGAAGGACTGTGTATTTTAGGAAGTAGAGAATTTTTATTTTCACAAAATTTTATGTATTCTGAAAGCATAAATAATTTTATAATTGTCTAATAGCCTAGGATTGGATTCCTGAAAAAGACATCTAATAGATGGGAGGTATGTAGTGGGGTGTATAGTGAGGGACTATTTATGTTTTAAAGAACATTTAAAATACTGCCTTGTTTTTGTCACCTTAGCCAAGAAGACGTTTCTTGGGCAAAATAAATCCTTCTGGGGTCCTCTAGAACTGGTAGAAAAACTTGTTCCAGAAGCCGCAGAGATAACAGCAAGTGTTAAAGATCTCCCAGGACTTAAGTAAGTCTAAAGTTGAATTCTGTTTCTCAAGAACAACATTCTTATTTCTTAAAGAATAATACTAAAGATAATAATACCTATGATCATTTTTACAACATTACAAAATGCATAATGTTATGAGTAAGAGAACTGGTATGTAAAATTTTAAGAAAAGTGTGCTCTTGAAGGATAATCATTCATCTAAAAGAGGTTGGCTTCATGTTAAAATACCAAAGTTCTCCTCCACCCCTACCCCAATACTGGGGACTAAAATTAGGGTTTCACGCCTGGTAGGCAAGCACTCTACCACTGAGCTATACTCATAGCCTAATATTTAAAAAAAAAAAAAAAAACACTTGTGAGAATCAATGAGTCTCAAGAAATTCAATCTAGGGAGTTGACTTAGGGAAATAATGTATTTGATGGGGTCCGAAAGTCAATATTAAATCGGATATCAAAAAAACAAACAAACAAAAATAATAATAATAAAATAAATCGGATATCAAGTGAACCTCGGGAATTGACACCAACAACCTGTCTTAGAACTTGAAAAAGAGTAGTGATCACCCTCCCAAATGAGATTGGTTTAATCTTAATCAGATAGAAGTTTAAATTGCCTGAATTCACATTCATGTTTGGTCCTTATATAACCCATACTAAATCTGGGAATATTTATCAATACTAATCTGATGGAACATTTCTAGTTGGGCTTCCCAGAAGTAAGTCTGGGAAGTAGTCACATTAAGTAATTGTTTATTTATTTATCTCTCTATTTGTTTGTTTGTTTGGTGGTGGTGGTAGTACTGGGGATTAAACTCAGCTTTGTACATGTTAAGCAAGCACTCTATACTAAGCTACAATCCCAGTGCCCTCATTCAGTTATTAATTCTTTGTAAGAGCATTTATCCTAAACATACCCCTGGATCTTACTATTCTGCACAGAATTCCCAGTATAGGACTGTATTGAGACAGGTTATGAGGAACACCTCAATGTGCTCATTATACTGGGAGACCATTGGAAAATGAAGTGAATCTGTTCCACAGTGACCCCTGCCTCTGTTGCTTACATTTTTAGTCATTTTGTCATTTTGTCTCTGTTCTTGTAGGACACCAGTAGGCAGAGGAAGAGCCTGGCTTCGTTTGGCATTAATGCAAAAGAAACTTTCAGAATATATGAAAGCCTTGATCAATAAGAAGGAACTTCTCAGGTATGAACACCATTTTGAACTTTCTTTTTCCCTTGATGTGTTCTGTCATAAAACTGAATCATACAAATTTTTTCATTTTATAAGAAATAGTTGATTCATAACAATTTTACTAATATTTACTATCACACTTCACATACTTGTATTTCCAAATGGATGTTTTATACTATGTATGCTCTATCACTCTGACATACATGGTTTTTTGCAGGGCATTCCAAACCTTAATACCTCCAGAAAACAGAGAAGACTTTGACACCTTAGTGTGTGCCCAGGCTCAGTAAGATAAGAAGTTGACATGTAGCATTAAATTTAAAAACAGCCCCAAAATTCCAGATGGATCATAGATGTAAGTAGGAAAGACAAAACAATAAAACTTTTAAAAGAAAAAGAAGGCAAAATTTTGCTACTTGTAAAGGGAGAAAAATGGATAATTTGGGCCACATTAAAATGAAGAACTTAGATTCATCAAGATACTCTTTAATATTAAGAAAGAGCCCATCTTTCACAGAGTGAAAGATGATTCTAATACATAATACATATATTCAACAAAAGTTTCATATTCAAGGTGTATTTTAAAACTACCAATCCAGTAAGAAAAAACATATAAGCAATATAAAAATAGGCAAAAGATGGGCTGGGGTTGTGGCTCAGTGGTAGAATGCTTGCCTATCATGTATGAGGCACTGAGTTCAATTCTCAGCACTACCTATAAATAAATAAATAAATAAAGGTCCATTAACAACTAATAAATTATTTTTTAAAAAATAGGCAAAAGACTTGAACAGGTCTTTTTAAATCATTTTCAACCTATTATGCATGTTTGCTCATTTTTGCTAATTAAGCAAAAATTAATATATATAATTCATCTGTTCACATTTGTAAGATGTTTACTTACTGCATTGAAGGAATGTTATTTTTAAACAGAATTAAAAATAAAAAAATTTTAAGAAGGTATTAACTTTTAAAAATCAAACCAAATAAAATTTTAAAATGCATAAAAGATTTCAGAAGTATCCAGTGATGCATCACAAATATAAATACATCAGAAAAATCTAAATACTCACTTCAATAAAAATACCATCTGATCATCTTTTTTTCAACCAGATCACTTGTTATCTGAAGAGTCTATTCGTGCACCTGCTATCTAAAATAAAATATTTATGAAACACTTTCTTCTTTTAAAACTTTGTCACTATTATCATAGATGACCATGTTAACCATGAGGCAAGCATTTTTCTCTTTCCTTCATGATTATATCATTGGATTTTTGAGGTTTTATTATAGTAGAATATTCTGTATTTCTCTTACAGTGAATTCTATGAACCAAATGCCCTCATGATGGAAGAGGAAGGAGCTATAATTGCTGGTCTGTTGGTGGGTCTGAATGTCATTGATGCAAATTTTTGTATGAAAGGAGAAGATTTGGACTCTCAGGTATGGAAATAATACTCATTTAACCAAGTGTGTCACTTTGGATTCTGTTATCTCAGGAATTGGGTTAATTAGATTATATCAACTAAGAGGAGAATCATAAATGGGATTTCCTTTAGTTTTGATGTATGAAAAATTAGATTTTTGTCTTCTAGAATATTTTTCAAATTTATTATCTTGGCTGCAATCGCTGTTAAATATATTAAAAAGCCAGTAAAGTGGCACACACCTGTGATCCCAGCAAGTTAGGAGGCTAAGACAGGAGAATCCCAAGTTCAAAGCCAGCCTGGGCAATTTAGTGAGACCCTGTCACAAAATAAAGAATTAAAAAGGGCTGGGGATGTAGCTCAGTGGTAGAGTGCACCTAGGTTCAATCCCCAGTACCATCCAAAAAAAAAAAAAAAAGCAACCCAGTAGAACAAGTAGAGCATGGTCTTTAAGATTAAAGACTCTAAAGCCAAACTGCTTAGTTTTAAATTATCTTCCTCATTTTCTAGCTAAATAAATTATGTAGGTACTTAGTTTCTTGGTGCCTCAGATTCCTTGATATAATGTAGGGATTTTTTTTTTTTTAAGAGTATAAATAAGCTAGGCATGTTAGCCTATAATCCCAGTGACTCAGGAGGTTGAAGCAGGAGAATCACAAGTACAAGGCCAGGCTCAGCAATTTAGGGAGACCCTAAACAACTAAGCAAGACACTACCTAGGGTTCAATCCCCAATACAAAAAAAAAAAAAGAGAGAGAGAGAGTAATTAATGGGGTTTTGTGGGGAATAAAGAAGTTAGTATACATAATTCACTTAGATTTAGCCTTAGCACATATTAATTGCCCAGTAATTGCTTTTTCACTATTATTATTTCTTACCTCTTCTGTGTGAAATATTATGATGAATTTCTGTTAGGTTTTACTCTGAGAAAATATAAGACAAAATATGACTCAATCTTGATTTTTAAAAAAATTTTATACTAGAATATTCTGAATAAGCTGAATAATTAAATAGCAAATCTTGAAAAATGAAGATATGTGCATCAATGAAGCTTTGAAAGAATAGACACCACGGGGAAATGTACATTATTTTTATAATTTAACTTTTAAAAACTTATCCCTAAAAGCAAATAGAAATTCAGTAGCAGAATGCCTGAAATAAGTAAAAGAGAAAGAAACTTTAAACCTTATATACATTAAGTATTCTGTTGACTGTCTCAGTTAATGATCTGGTTTCCTAGTCCTATTGATATAATCTTGATCCTATACTTCTAACTCACAGCAATTCTTGATTAAATTAAAGGTAAAACATTAAGGGCTGGGAAGTATCATTGGTAGAGTGTCCTGGGTTCAATACCCCATGCTGAAAGGGGAAAAAAAGCGAAACATTGTATTTGTATTAAAAATTTCTGGTGATTATCATGACTATTTTATTATTTTGAGTGCCTAGAAAGAGACATTTTGCTGTTGTTTGTTTTTTGTTTTACTCTTACAAAAAGACATTGTTTTATGCCTTGGAAAAAGCATCAAAATTTGTATTAAATTCTGAAAATTCTCTCTGTAGGTTGGAGTTATAGATTTTTCAATGTATCTCAAGGATGGGAACAGCAGTAAAGGTAGTGAAGGGTATGTGCAAAGAAAATTAGATTTCTTTTTTCCTTTGTAGTATTTTTCCCCTTTGGTCATATTTAAAGTTTATAACAATACAGATTTAACTGACTTGCCAAAAGAATTTTTGATGATATAGCTTTAAAAATATCTGACTATTTGTGCCTCCTACTAAATCCATTTAGTTAAATAATTTTCTGTTGTGTGGTTCAGGCAAACAAAATTAAAATTATGAAATAATCAAATTCTTCATCTCTTAAAGTAATATTTGAAAACATGATCTTTTTGACCAAAGGAATTACAATGTCAGTTGCTTAAAATTTGCAATATGAAATATGCAGCATGGGGTTATATAAAATATTAACATTGAGGGAATTGAGTGAAAGGTATATGGCAACTCTGTACAACTTTACAACTTTCTTATTAAGCAAATATTATTTCAAATAGAAAAATTTAAATACTGTGGTACTTGCTGATTAGAGATCAGAAGTATACCTTATATCCTTTATGTATTTAGCAGTTGAAAGCATAATTTGTCTGATATTTTTAATCTTTGACTTTGAGTTTAAGCTTATGTCATCTGTAGGAGCTGGGGATGTGTCTCAGTGTTAGAGCAGTTACCGTAGTGCACATGCCTAGCACACAGGAAGCCCTGAGTTCGGTCCCCTGCACTGCCAAAAGAGAGAAAGAAAAAGTATATCATTTGAATTTGTGCCTTTTATAGGTTAGTTGGTTCTAAATGAACCTCATTTTTCCACACTTTATTTCCCTTCTAATAATAAGCACTTAACCTTTACAAGCCTTTTTTACCACTTGCTTTGAATAAAAATAGCACTTAAAGGTAAATATATAGCCTTTGGGAACAGCTACATTATACTATAAGTGAGTTTAATTCATTTCCTATGGGGAATATAAAATTTTTGCTATGAATAATACTAGTGAAGCTGAAAAAAATGTATTAACTTGCAAGAAAAAAACTTTTTAAACGTAAATGCCACTGATAGAGAAGTTTATGGCCTATAACCTAAGTTATTAAGATTTATAAGCAGGCTAGGGTTGTGGCTCTGTGGTAGAGTGCTTGCCTAGCATGGTGAGGCCATGAGTTCATTTCTCAGGACCACATATAAATAAATAAAACAAAGGTCCATTGACAATAGAAAAAATATTAAAAAAAAAAAAGATTTATAAGCTATAGCAGGGGCTTTATTAATGTAGCCTTTTATTTTTAAACTTCCAAGTCCTTCTTGTTGATATGTGGAGAGGGTTATTATGCATCATGTTTATTTTGTTCACTATATGTGCCCCAATTTTCTTCGCATGTTTTATGAAAAGATGAGATGGGTAGTGTTTCTAACATTATTTATTTTATTTTTATTACTTCTCTTTTTCTTCCAGGGATGGTCAGATTACTGCAATTCTGGACCAGAAGAACTATGTAGAAGAACTCAACAGACATCTGAAGTAAAGAATGAATAAATAATATTACTTTACTGGGGTTTTGTTGGGAGAGAAAGGAAGTATAAAATGATAAGCAATGAGGATAAATTCAGACAATGTTCAACAAATATATAAATATAGAATTCCTGATTGTCAGGCACTGAGTTAGACATTAGATAAATGAGATTTAACTGTTTTGGTGACCCTTAGTGAAAAGCAATATAAGAGACTATAAAACAGTAATTTAGTGATTAAGTAAATAAATACATTCAGTTAAGAATTTTAAAATGTGTGGCACAGATATTTGAAATTGGCAGCCCACTTGGTGCAGTGATAAAGCCACTTATTTTAGTATTAAACTAAATTCAGTAATTTAGTTCCTATATATCTCTGGGTCCCTTGTATTTCATATACAAGTCATATAAATATGACTCTTATATTAAATTATTTATTCTAATTTCCATGCCTTAGTTTCTTTATCTGTAATTGGAGACACCTAACACATAGAGCTGTTGAAAGAATAAAATTATGCAAGTGAAATAATTTCGAACAGTGCTTGGTACATGTAAAGCATTTAATTCATATAGCCTATTTATGCTTTATATAGGTAAACCCTGAAATTTACATGTAGCTCATTAGCTCTTTTTTTATTGAACAAATACTTAATACGAATTCTAATGCCAAAGATACAGCAGCTAAGGCAGACACAGCCTTTTGTAAGCTGTCTTAGAGCCTAATAGTCTATCAAAAATTATAGACATTAGACAATGAATGAATGATAAGTATGGGTATTTCAAAAGGAAAGTTCAGGGTATTGTTTTCAAAAGAGACCATTGTTTTTCTCTTGGTAGTGCTACTGTAAACAACCTTCAGGCAAAAGTAGACGCATTAGAAAAATCAAACACTAAACTCACAGAGGAGGTAAGTGTTTTGGAAATTCTTTGACCTATAAAATTTAATAATGTGTATTAATGAAATCAGTAATTTCTATGTAACCTTAGAAATGAAGGATTTGACTTTTCAAATATATCTACTATAGTATATAACTCCTTTTTTACCTGACTGGTTAGTTGGCTTATCCCGGGATTCTCATTTAACCCAGTTAGACTGCATAGGCATGTTTTCTAAGTATCTTTTATGAAAATGTTTTATCTGAGCTGTCCTAGAATAAATATTTAGCATATAGCATGATATTCATCATTTATTCATTCAAATAACATTTTAGGCACTAGGTGCTATAATTACACAAAGATTTATATGTGTTGGGCATTGATTTATATGTTTCAGACAGACAAGCTTCTTACTCTCTATATTCTTATATTCTTCTTGGGACAGTAAGATAAAATAAAGATCACTGGTCAAAAGACCAATAATTTCTGCTTACTTGTTAAGCTATTTATGTGTCATGTGCTCCTGAGTCAGTTGACCTCTAAGAGGCCCAATTCCCTCACTGGCAAATGGAGTGTTTATACTCCCCCTTATAATCTCACCATTACTTAGAAGATCAGATAATAACAGATATGTGAAAGCTCTTAGAGTAAGTTCCTAAAGAAAAAAATAACCTCATATGTTCCTTCTGATTAATGAAGCTATTTTCCCTAATTTGCCAAAGACTAAGCTACAATTTTTTTTCTTTAATAGCATTAGATGTGTGTGTGTGCGTGCATGTGTGTGTGTGTGTATTTTGCTGGGAATTGAACCCAGGGCTGTTCCAAGCAAGCACTCTAAAACTGAGCCACATTGTCAGCCCTTTTTATTTTTTATTTTTAGACAGGGTCTCGCTAACTTGCCAAGGCTGGCTTTGAACTTGCAATCCTTCTGTGTCAGCCTCCCAGGCTGCTGGGATTACAGGTGTATGCCACTGCACCCAGCAGCGTTAGATGGATCTATGAAAATCCTCAAGTAAAATTATCCAAATTATTGCAAAGAGCTTGTCTTCTCTGTTTCTAATTATAATGGACCTGTTGTATTCAGTGAGATAAATTTGGTTAAACAAAATCAAATTGATGCACTGATCAGGAATATGCTATTCCTTCAGAACAAATATTTTAATTTTAAATGCTTGTTTCTCAGCTCTGTGGGCTTTAATTTTGAATGAAGAGTATATATATATGAAGCTTTAATTTATGGATATGACCCTTAAAATCTATCCCACAAGGTTTTAAGCAGTCCAGCACAAACATTTCTACTGAGGTTCTTTTGCTGCTGTATTGAGGCAGTATGGCATAGCAATTGAGGCACTGGGTTCAATTCTTAGCACCATATAAATAAATAAATATATGAAAACTTTTTAAAAATTTTATTTAAAAATCAGCAACAGGAGATTTTAAAATATATTTTTAGTTGTTAGTGGACCTTTATTTTATTCATTTATTTATATGCAGTGCTGAGAATCAAACCCAGTGCCTAGGCAAGCACATGCTAGGAAAGCACTGTACCACTGAGCCACAACCCCAGCCCAGGAGATTTTTTTTTTAACCTACATTAAAGATATTTCTCCTGAGTTCCTTTTAAGAACATTTTTCATTGGGTTATAAATAGTTTCTTTATTTCTAAGACTATCCAAGCCTAAAAATTGTTGCCTAGCAGATCATAAATTATTTTATGCTATTAATACAAAAATAAATAAAATTTCACCAACAGCTTGCAGTCGCAAACAACAGAATTATTACCTTGCAAGAAGAAATGGAACGAGTTAAAGAAGAGAGCTCCTACATATTGGAATCCAATCGAAAGGTGAATATTAACTGGATTTATAAAACATTCATAGAGTATATGTGATGTGTTAGCAATAGAGGGGAGTCTCTAGAGGAGATGCAGACATTTGCATATATCAGGCACAGTTTTTACCTTGTCTCCATGCATAATTGAGTGCATGATAGAAGGAATGGAGAGGTTTTGCCCTTTCCCTTACATCATGCTCCTTGGCTTCACTCTACCTACATAATGTTTAACTTCAAGAAAATCTAATTTTGTTCCTTTTTTGTTGTTGTTGTATTAAGGATTTGTACCATAATTAATTGATATTTGTGATATTAAATATGCCATTATTTTTGTGCTGTTACTGTTTTGTTAAGTGACACTTCCTTTATATCATATCACTGGGAGTTACCTTATAAATGAATTTTCTAGATAACTTTATCTCCTAAAGGACCAAATTTTTATACATGTCTAATTAATTTTTGTAAACCTTGGTACTTTTCCAAGCTACCTTAATTAGAGGATATAATTTATATCCATAATTTTAAATTATTAAAATTGTTCCTAACAAGTAATTTGCTCTGAGTGGGAACAAAAGCAGTTTTGTATGTGTAGGTTCTTTGACTAATGCATAGACTTCAAGAAATTACTGTGAATGTTCAGAATAGCCTTTGATGACCTATGTATTTTTAGCTATGATCTCTGGATACTTGTAAGACACTATATGAGATCTCTGGAGAATTAATGTAGTATCATTTGAACCTTTAGCCCAGCTAATGTTTTAAAGTGAATATGTTATTTTAATTTAAAGACTGATTTTTAAAACACCTAAGACTTTTTTTTTTTTTTTTTTTGGTTTTTTATACTGGGACTTGAACCCAGGAGAACTTTACCACTGAGCTACATCCTCAGCCTTTTTTTTTTTTTTTTAAGTTGTAGATGGACACAATAACTTCATTTGATTCATTTATTTTTATGTGGTGCCAAGGATCGAACCCAGTGCTTCACATGTGCTAGGCGAGCACTCTACCTACCACTGAGCCACAACCCCAGCCCCACATCCCTGGGCCTTTTTTTTTTTTAAGACATCGATAGACCTTTGTTTTATTCATTTATTTATATGTGGTGCTGAGGATTGCATCACACGTGTTAGGCAAGTGCTCTACCACTGAACCACAACCCCAGGCCCCAGCCCTTTTTTAAAATTATTTATTTATTTATTTATTTAGAGACAGACTCTCACTCAGTTGCTGAGGCCTCAAACTTATGATCCTCCTGCCTCAGCCTCCTGAATAGCTGGAATTATGGCCTATACCACCATGTCTGGCTCTGTCTCATTAACTTATCTTAGGATTTTTAAATAAAGCAGGAAACTTCCAATTCTTCCTGACTTTTTAAATGTACTTGACTTCTTCAGTTTCCTTACTGTCTTCATTCATTGTTGTAAGTGCTTAGGTATCATCATTTTTAAAAGGTTTTTACAAATATTGTTTATTTTAATGAAGCTGATACAATGTCCATTTAAAACCCATATCCCAGGCCAAAAGTACAAATAAAATCAGAGGAGCAGTGTTCTGTTGTATACACTTCTGCATGAATAACTTTATTAACTGCTAATGAAAATTAGAACTTTTCCAGGGTCGTCTGACAAGATTGTTGTTTTTGTTGGTGTTAATCTTAAAATGCTTTCTCTTCAGTGAAGCCATCTTTGGAGCTTGTCATTACTCTCATCATATCTGTCATCTTGACTCCAAAGCTTTATTCCTCCTCTTTTGGTCCAAACATTCAGATTTTAAAAGTAGCATCAACTTAAGGAAAGGTCATTTTCCCACAATTCAATTCTCTGAAAAACTTCCATCTCCCACTGAAAGTCACAGTCCAGGAATGAAGCAATCACGGGCTAGAACTTCAGGGCCAATTGGAAAGTCATTATAGGTACTCACATTGGTCGATCTTGTTTACCACCACAAGCCTGAAAATGCAGTCCTGAAAAAGGTGGCCTCTCTGTGTACACGTGTAATTTTTTAAAAGGAGAGGGCAATACGAAGGGAGCTGAGGTTTGATCACCAAAAAATCAGCACAGTGAAAACAAACAATGGTGGAGTGGTGCATGCCTGTAATCCCAGCAGCTCCAGAGGCTGAAGCAGGAGGATTGTGAATTCAAAGCCAGCCTCAGCAAAAGCAAGGTGCTAAGCAACTCAGTGAGACCCTGTTTTAAAGAGATGGGTGCCAGTTTTCAATTCCATTTGAACACCACATTACAAAAGAACTACTTTTAAAAATAAAAAAGGATTGAGGGAAAAGAAAAAAAAAAACCAATATCTAAACCATTTAATGACTCCTTTTTTATTCCTTATAAACTTCAATCACATCTTCTTCCTCCATTCCCAGTTCTTTTGGAGTATGATTATCAGCAATTCTCTGACCTTCAAAGAGAAACCTGAGTGAATTCATTGGAACTCCCTGTCTTTGACAGTATGATTCTTTGAATTTCTTGAGATGTGTTGTCATTTTCACTTTAAAGTGAATCTCAGTGTTATCCTGTCCAATGGCTTTGAGTTTAATGTATTATTGTTCTCCAAGTCCTCGACTGAAGGTTTTGCTTCCTGATCAGACATGGAGATGGTGGCTTCACCCAGTCTCCACACAGCAGCGACCTTGGGTATGCAGAACCTGGCTCCAGGGTTTACAAATTCGTCTCCCATCCCCACAGCACAACACCATATCTATCATCATTTTTCTTTACTAAATAGCAATGCCAGTATCTGCTAATGCTGTGTAGGTTATTTAAATCCCTAAATATTCAATACTTTATTTCTTTTCAAGGGTCCTAAGCAAGACAGGACTGCAGAAGGACAAGCACTAAGTGAAGCAAGAAAGCATTTAAAGGAGGAGACACAATTACGATTGGTAAACTTTGCCTAAGTTTAGTATTTCAGGAACACATGAAATGGCCTAAGAGATTTTACCTTATAGACCAAGATCTGGAATATCAGTAGTATTCTATATATAACTTTTTTGTAATTCTGAAAACTGTTTCTTAACTTTTTTTTTAACTCACATTCCCTGTGTGGCTTTCTCAAAACTACCTCCTGCTTTTTTTTTTTTTTCTTTATATTTCAGGAACACTAGATATATAGAACTTACTTATCCCCACTCCTCCCTCAGTCCTTACCACTGCAAAGCTTGACATCGTCCCCTTAATAGGAATCATGAATGTAGATTATCTTATTTTTACCTATTATTCCTGAGTTTATTCTCACTCTAATATATATACATACAGGAAATTTTATTGTCCAGTATTACTCTTAGAAATTAAAATATATATGTGTAGTATGTGTTTAAGATTCATAAGTATCAATAAACCTTGCTATTAGCATATTAATTCTTCCTGAATTCAGATAGGATGACAAACAAAATGACCCCCCCCCCCCCCCCATAGTGTCTCTAGGAATAGGGAAAAGATAAAAAATAAGGGGTGATTTATATGTAATAAAAAGTTATTACAAATTAACAGTGTACAGCAGAACTTAAGATTGTCTGAAAACATAGTAATGTTATTTAGTATCTGCCTTCTATGTGTTTGTAAATTGATCTCAAAATACTTCTTACAAGGAAGGTCCTAGAAATAATATGTCAGATTTTAAGAGGGGTGTCTCAGTTAAGTAGCACATAATAAAAATCTTAAAATTTTTGTATTCTTTTATCATAATAAGAAATAAGATAAATATTTGTTAAGAAGGCAAGAAATAGGCAAGGTGCTAGATACATCTTAGACACAACTCAGGTCTCTGTATCTTTGCTGATCTGAATAATGTTACAGTCATAATGGTTGAAACAAAAAGGAGTTTCATGTTAAGTGAATCTAAAAATTCAGTTAGCTGTATTGATAATTCCTAATAGTTGAGATGTTATCCTTGGGGACCCAGAGTATACTCTGGGTTCCTTGGGTTCTTGAATATATCAACATTTAAATTTTGGAGAATTGCAACTACTTCAGTTTGTGCTTCTACTAAACACTTTATGTATATTTCTATAATAGGACTTATGCATTGTCGCAGTACCCCAAGTGTGTGCATATTTTGATCATAAATAGCATTGTCTTTAACCTAGTAATTTTTTAGATTTGTGCATTATCAAACAGATGTTATACTTCATTGTTCTTATTGTTAATGTCTCTGAAAATGAATGATGGCTTTTGGCTATTTTACCAGAATATTCAGACCTGAGGGTTTTGGTCTACCCTTCCTGTGAAATTTTATGGTTGTACTTAGTTGAGGAAAGGGAGTATAATCAATTCATTTACCTCTGGCGGCAGGATGTTGAAAAAGAGTTGGAGATCCAGATCAGCATGAGACAGGAGATGGAATTGGCTATGAAGATGCTGGAGAAGGATGTCTGTGAGAAGCAGGATGCCCTGGTGTCTCTGCGGCAGCAGCTGGATGATCTCAGGGCTCTCAAGCATGAACTTGCTTTTAAGCTGCAGGTAGGGGAAATATGAGGAATAGATTCACCAGCTTTCTGAAATAGTGGAGCTCCCCTCCATCTTTCTTGTTCTGTAGAATCACACTTTAAGAGGGAAGAGTCACTAAGCACTGACACAACCCAGAATCCCAGCTGAGGGGAGGCTGAGACAGGAGGATCACATTTCAAGGCCAGTCTGGGCAACATAGCAAGACTGTCTCAAAATGAAATTTTAAAAAGGACTGGAGATGTAGCTTAGTGGTAGAACACTTGCCTAGCATGTATGAGGCCCTGGGTTCAATTCCTAGTATTACATACACATACAAAAAAAGGATCAGACTCTCATAAGATTCTCTATTGTGTTCTGAAAAATCAAGCCCACTTTTCATATTGCAAAACTGGTTGGGGTCTTTTTTAATCCTACAATTTATACTCTCTATCTTAAGATGCCAGCTGAGTTATGTATTCCATTAGATTTTAAATGGAACATGATAAATTGATGAACCTTCTGATATTATGATAAGGTTGCATATAAATAATACTGATTTTAACCAAATTACTTTTGGAGCTTTGGTTTGGGAATTTGGGGTTTGTTTGTTTGTTCTTGTTTGGAAATGTATGAGCATTTATATTTCTCTGTTTTCCCCTTACCATCAGGTTCAAAAAGCATATGTGATTATAATTAAGAAGTTTATGTTATAGTCTATAATTATTTTCTATACAGAGTTCAGACTTAGGAGTAAAACAGAAAAGTGAACTAAACAGTCGCTTGGAAGAGAAGACTAATCAGATGGCTGCTACCATTAAACAACTGGAACAAAGGTAAAAAGTGCTATTCCTTTAGCGAAATACTTTGAGCTGCGAGTGCTAAAAGTGAAGAGAGTATGCTCTGCTTTGGGCAAATAAAAAATATATGAAATTCTTCCAACCCTAATCAGCCATGCCTGGAGAAAGAAAGCCAATTGAATTTTATGTGTTCTAAGATGTCATTGAAAATATTGTTAAGAAATGTCAGTCAGCCTGTCCTGATTACTTTGAATATTAGAAATGGGAATTTAACCCATTTCACTGATGAGTCTTAGAAGTATACTTTTAAGAATGAAAGAATTTTTAAGTATGTGTTTATAATTGTGTGATTTTATTGTTCCTCACTAAAGTCTTGGAATACTTTGGCACTAAGTGAGCTAGGGGTTCCAAAAGGTGGTTTAGAAATAGAAATAGAAAGATCTATTATGGATCTTTCCTTTCTTTAACCCTTCTTCTCTCTTCTCTCCCATCTCCCATTGCTGTCTACTTGCTCCGCAATAGTTGTTTAGCTTCCACTGACATCTGCAGTGTGTGTCTCCTCTCTGACTTCCATCAGGAGACTGGTCTTGAGTTTTCTTCCTCTGACCACCATCTCCCACCAGTCTTTCAGTTCTCTCTGCCCAAAGCATCTCTCTTTCTATGATATGTTCTTTTTTTTTTTTTGAGAGAGAGAATTTTTATTTATTTATTTTTTTAAGCTTTTGGCGGACACAACATCTTTGTTTGTATGTGGTGCTGAGGATCGAACCCAGGCCGCACGCATGCCAGGCGAGCACCCTACCGCTTGAGCCACATCCCCAGCCCTATGATATGTTCTTAATTCTCCATTTGTCTGAAACTACTGTTGTTGACTCAGCAGCCAAGAGAAACGTGGCTAAGATTTCAGGATGGAACACAGCATGGCACCCAGGGTCATTCAGTGTTTCCACCTTTAACACCTTTCACCCTTTTTGCACTTGAAAAAAACTAAACTATGGCTTCCTGGATATGCTTTCCCCTTTCTTCATCCATTGCTTTGCTGAGAGTTCCATCAATTAGAAATGACCTTCTCCTTCCTGCTTCCTTGTTCTTCAGATATATTTTTTCCATTCAAGCACACTCCAAAGCTGCTTTTTTTTTTTTTCAGTACTGGGGATTGAACCCAGGGGCGGTTAACCATATTTTATTTTGAGACAGGGTCTCTCCCAGTTGCTTAGGACCTCACTAAATTGCTGAGGCTGGCTTTGAACTTACAATCCTCCTGCCTCAGTCTCCCGAGCTGCTGAGACAAAGCTTCTTCTGATACCTACTTTCAGCTAGAAATTGCGTTATATCTGTCTCTATCTTTACCACTTAGTGGCACTTATTACTGTCTGCTTTACCTTATAGTCCTTTAAATACATACCTTCCTTTGAGAGCATAGGCTCCTTGAGATTAATGAACATTATTTATTTTTATTTTTATTTATTTTTTTTGGTGGTGGTGGTGCTGGAGATTAAACCCAGGGCTTTGTATATTCAAGGCAAGCATTCTGCCAACTTGAGCTATATCCCCAGCCCTAATTAACAAATCTTTTAAGATCTTTTAAGCTCCCTCATTGGGAGGGCTGGAGTTGTAGTTCAGTAGTAGAGCACTTGCTTACCATGTTTAAGGCCCTGGATTCAACCCTTAGTACCACACACACAGACACAAAAATGTTCCCTCATTGGATCTGTCAGTACCTTAAATGTACAAGGCATAAATTTGGTAGATATGTGAATGAATGGATGAATAGGTGACTTCTTTTATTCCAATGATTCTTAATGAGGGAAGGTACTAAACAACAGTGCATATTTATTTTTAACTTAAAAGTTAACTGCAGATTTATAAATAAACTCAAAACCTCTAATATGGGTGACAAATAAAAAGTATCTATTAAAAAAAGTAAGCTAAGTACTTGCTCATAGGCAGTTATATGTTTATAACAAATATATTTATTTTAGTATTTCTAAATTGTACTTTTGAGATGTATCATATTTTTCACTCATTTAGACTTGGCATTTAAAGCAGAGAGAATAAAATATGACTTACCTCTCTGAATATTAAGCTGACTTATTTCTCTTGCTATCTTTGTGTTTCCTGTTTATTCATTTCCTCATTTCCCTTTCACTTCATTTTCATTTTTATTTTATTTCATCTAGTGAAAAAGATTTGGTGAAACAGGCAAAGACCTTAAATAGTGCAGCAAATAAACTGATCCCAAAACATCATTAGGCATTTTGCAGTTGGTCACCTCACAGTATCACAAGTCAATTGTAAAAGGAAGAAATCTGAAAGTTATTATGTTTAAGCTGTGATTCCATAAAAATGTCACCAAAAGTTGACTTTGTATTTGTTGGACTTTTAAAAATAACAATTGGACAAATATGTTGGGGTTTTTTCCTTATTATTATTTTCTCCCCAGAGTTAGAAATTTGGTGCAAATTTCTAATTAAATGCCAAATAAACTGAGAAATTACTTCTGAGTTGACCAATAAATAAAAATAGCATTTAAAAAGAAAAGCCCAGAGAATTGAGGCTTTGTATATATATATATTAATGATGCCTTTACAACCCATTCCTTGGTAATATCAGATTCTAGGTGCATTGTTAATGTCTGTATCAGCAAGCCTGTTCTGTCATTGCAATGTAATGAACTAGAGGTGACTACCATGTAAACTTGGACTCTTCTAAAGTAGTTGTGTCTCTTAGACCATGACCCCTTTTCAATTTTGTTATGTAGGTTTAATCCCCAAACTAAGGATAAGTGCTTAGTATTTCATTACAGTTCTATTCTCAGTAACCAAGATTGCTTGCAACTTTTTTGCCTTAGTGATTTTGAACAACAACAACAACAAAAAAAAAAAAGCATCCTTATATTTCTTTAAAGTACATAGAGATAAATTTAATAATTAGGTAACTTATGATAGCATCATATTATGGAAGCTTGAGAAAAATCTCCTAATATTTGTCATCTTCTACCTCTGCCACTTTTTCTGCAATTCCACTTTAGCTCAGAGAGAAAAAATTTTAATAAAAACACTCTTCTCCTATAAATAAAATGCACTATGCATTTTTCAGATCTATCCTGTTTTTCCTACTGGAGTAAAGAGGATAAGGCGTATATATGAATAATGATTTCCTGCCTGTTATTCCTTAGTTTCTGTTATTAAGAATTTCTGTTACTTTTTGTTTAGATGGGTTTGCTAATGGTTCTGGGAAACTAACAATTTAGTTATTAGAAAAACATTTCAGATTAAGAAATAAATGATAAAGCACATTCTTTATTATTATTTAGTATAAAAATAAAAGTTCCCAGGGCTGGGGTTGTAGCTAAGTGGTAGAGCACTTGCTTTGCATGTGTGAGGCACTGGGTTCGATCCTCAGCACCACATAAAATAAATAGATAAAATGAAGGTACTGTGTCCATATAAAAGTTCCCAGTAGGTATCCACAAGCAATATTAGCAGGGCTTCTTTTCCTAAGTGACCACCAATCTAACCCTTTCTATGCTTTACATTGTAAATAATTGTATAAATACCTTGATTTTTTTTTTTTCTTAAAGTGACTTTTGATTTGGGGATACAGGCTTTTATAGTAAAGCCTTCGTTCTGTCAAAAGGTCTTGTCAAAATATTTGGGATTTTGTTTGCTTGGGTTTGTTTGGGTTTTTTTTTTTTTTTTTTTTTTTTTTTCCTTCATTCTGGTATGCTTCACAGCATTTCAGCTGCTAAGGTAGGGAAAAAGACAACCCATTTGCTTCCGGCTCTTGAAATTCTTTACCTTATACTTGGCAAAACCAGAATTAAGAGAGTAAGATAGATTCCATATGTTTTTATGCTTACACAGACTCAAACCAAAATCAAATTGAAGAACATATGTTAGAGCCAACTTTATGAAAGATATTGTGCTCTTGAGCTTATATTAGTTCTTATCATTTTGCACCTATATAAATAAAATGCTTACTACATTCTTATCTGCATCAACCTTTTGTGGTGATGAGTTGCCTTTTCTATGGGCATTTGGAGGGAGGACTCAAACATGAAAATAAAAATTTTTAAACTACACATAGCATGCTTCTAAGTTCCTTTATATAAAGCTCCAAGTGTTTTGCCTTCTAAAACATGATTCTTATAGGTGCAAAATTATAAGTTTAGAAGAAAGCATCCATTGGAATCGTCCAGAGAATGTGGTCAGGAGTCTTATAAGGCCCAGTGCTGAATTCTTTGTCCACATAGTCACACATGACTTGGTAGAAATGGAAAGGAAAGAGTCAGCCAAACTCTGAAAAAGGCTTTTCCTTGTATAATAATCTGAAGCCTGGTTAAAGGTTGATGTATAATGTCCTATGATTTAATATATGTGGTTTGAGGAAAGGACCAGAAAAATGTTATAATTCCACTTATTAAGATAGTTACCCAATTACAAGTTCCAGTTATGTATGTAAAGCGAATAAAAAGTACCAAATCAAATAGGAAATAAAAACAAAATATGAATTAAAAACTCAAATTACTATGTACTTGAGGCTGGCTTTGGATATGGATTTTCTAAAAAGTGATGTTTTATTGTTGATCATCTAATGACTGTAAACTGTAGTGCTAGAATAAAAAAAAAATTGGAAAATTTTCCTCTGCCTGGTTCACCTTCATCTTGCTTTTCTTTAGAATTTGTTTCTTCTCCATCTTTTTTTTCCCTCATAATATTTTCCCCTGTGTCCTACAAAGTTTTTTCTTCTTTCTCTCTCCATGCCTTCCTCCTTGGGTTATTTTATTTTGTGTTGTGAACTTGGTCTTCCTCCCCACCATGGCTTTTGTTTTTTATCACAAGTTCATATGGCTCACATCCAGATTGCGCCAGGCTGAGCGAGGCCGCCAGTCTGCTGAATTGGACAACCGGCTCTTCAAACAGGACTTCGGAGACAAGATCAACAGTCTACAGCTGGAAGTGGAGGAGCTCACCAGGCAGCGGTGAAGGGAGGGCAGCTTGAGCTGACAGGGTGGTCATGGGGAGTTCTAAGGCCAGACAGCAAGAAGGGAATCTCAGGACTTACAGCCATCTCAGCTACTGTCTTTTCTCTGGATTGGAATTCCGTTAGCTTCACATATATCACCATTCCCTAAATCCTGTCAACATCCTTTGTAATTAAAGAATTAGGAAATTTGAGTGCAGGGTCCTAGATAAATAGTAATGAATAGTCAACATAGCCGTAATAACATTAGTTAGTATTTCCTGCATTCCTCCTGTGTGCCGTGTACTTTACAGAGCTCTTCAACACACCCAGTGTTTTCACAGCAATCCTTTTAGTAGTTTATATTGTTGCCACCACTTTCAGATGGAGTTAAAGCTTGGGAGGGCCAAATGTGTTTAAACTGACAGCTAAGCTAATAAGTGACAACACTATCATTCAAAAATCTATTTCTCTGACTCCAGCACTAACCACTGTTCCATATTATATTTCAAATGTGACTCACTTTTGTGCTTAAGTCACTGATTCCAAACAAATAGAACTTTGTTGGATATAAAGCTCATAGCAACAGAGATCAGTAGTGTTTGAGGGTAGAGTACATAACTTTAAGAGAGAACAACTAATTAATATGAAATGGATCTATAATAACCATACTTTGATACTATATCTTGCTGAAATTTTATAAATGCTGTCTTTTGGTTATGGCAAATACTATTGTCATTTCAGTGACCACAACTCTTAATGAAGAGTTCATATAAAATACCAATATTCAGGAGTTGCCCTTCAGGCACTGGGCAGTCCTAAAATATATCCATAATCATCCAAGAAAGATTAAGCATATTTTATGTTTTTTAATATTATTGGTTTTATTGTATTTTAGTACTTTAAAGCTTAGTTGTCCATTTATGTGTGGTAACTTTTAATTCATCAAAACTTAATTACTGGCCAGGCACAGTGACAAACACCTTTAATTCCAGCTACTTAGGAGTATGAGACAGGAGGATCTCGAGTTCAAAGCCAGCCTCAGCAAAAAGCGAGGTGCTAAGCAACTCACTGAGACCCTGTCTCTAAATAAAATACAAAATAAGGCTCAGTGGTCGAGTGCCCCCAAGCTCAATACCCCAAAAGAAACTTAATTACTCAACTTTAAGAGAAAGATTTGGCAAAAAAAAAAGTTAAAAAAAAAAAAAGAAAGAGTTTGGAATGTGAATACAGAAATTCAAATTTTCAATCTTCCTTTCCCACCTATCCCAGGAACCAGCTTGAGTTAGAACTAAAACAGGAAAAAGAAAGAAGGTTACACAACAGGAGCACCCCAGAAAAGAGTCAGAAGCCAGAACCCAAGGTGGTAATGTTTGTTACTCTCTTGTTTATTTACTTTATTTTAATTTTGAGAGGCTACCTTGATGAGCCCATGGATTTCATACCTTGTTGCTGTGGCCTCTGGTATACAGACAGCAAATGAGCTGGACTGGAGAGATGAAAGCTTTATTCCGAGTCTTCATGATTTCATTTGGAAAGGGGATTGTAATAATAATTTTTTAAGATTTTTGTGGTAGCTTAACAAAAACATGCTTCTTGGATTTCTGCTAGTATTTCTAAGTCATGAGGATTTCAGTTTGAGCATACTCTAAGAATTTCTTTTAGAAATAATTAGAGGGAACAAGGCTTAAGGAAGGGAAAGTAACAGAGTGGTTTTAAAGAGCAGAAATAAAAATTCCTACCAAACATTCTTAAAAGGAGGGTCGTCTAGCACCTGCAGTGGTGAGGAAGCTAAAATTGGATAAGATCATCTCTGGGACTAGGAAACAAGAGCCAATTTCTTCAAGTAATGAAGTCCAAAACGCATGAGGTACTTTTTGTATCAAACACAGAGAAGAAATTGGCTCCTTTATGTATGTTATTATATATAATAAAGTAAAACCTATATACAATTCTTATTTAAAATTTCTAGAGAATGAGCTGTTAATTTTCCAAAGAGGTTTTTTAAAAAAAAAAAAAATGGGAGCAGCTCGGGAGTCTAAAGCAGGAGGATAGCAAGTTTAAGACCAGCCTCGGCAACTGAGCAAGGCCCTAAGCAACTTTGAGAGACTCTGTCTGAAAATAAAAAATTTAAAAAGAGTTGGGGAATGTGGCTCAGTGGTTAAGTGCTCCTAGGTTCAATCTCTGATACCAAAAAAAAAATGGTAAATGTAAATGCATTGTAATAGTAACCACCGCTAATTTTTTAAAGTATGTAAAGAGCCATTCTATATAAGCATGCTATCTTTATTAAGTTTAGTGAACAAAATATGAAGGAGTTACAAAGGTTTACTTAAGTCTTACCTTATTTTATCAGTGAGTTTAAGTTTTTCAATCTAGAATTGCCTTGTAGTAGAGTTTCTAGAAGGATAAATAGTACATTAACCTCCCTTCTTTGATAGTTGAATGGTCTAAGAACACAGGTTCCACTTTTAGAAGCAGATGGACTGCAATTCAAGGCATGCAGCAGTGTGTGTGTGTGTACACATACATGTTCTCATGCCACAGAATTTGTCCCTAAAAACTGCCCAGACAGGGCTTAAGAGCATTGGTATCAATATGCAGGTGGAACTTTACCTCATTCTTCAGAGTAGAAAACTCTCTGAATACATAGGCTGTAGAAGTTGTTGTAGCATTCAGGCATCTATTTGATTGAATTTCCAGAGGATTACACAGGTCTGCTAGATACAGTTGTGCTTGGTTTTACCAGTTATGCAGAGCTCAGTCAGGGGAAAAAAAAAAACTCATAAGAAGTAACTGATATATAGGTATTTTGAACTTACTTTACTCATAAATAAGATAAATTTTGAAATTGGGCTATTTTCTTTTGGCAGGATGGAAAGTACAAAATTCAAGAGGAAAATGATAAAATTAAAAAGTCCTTGGAAGAAAACCACAGGTGTTTGTTAATTAAGTTTTAAGTAAGATACAAAGTCACTTGGGGGCAGTGGGAAAGAGGGAGCTTATTTAATATACATTGGCACTGACACAGGCAAAACACTGACTTTTAATATTAATATGCCAGAAAGACATTTGGAGGGGAAAGTGAATAAATAATAAAACCAGATAACAGTATTAATTAAACTAAACTTATTAGGTCATTTCAGAACAAAGAAGGGTAATCAGGCTGTCCTCTGACTCTTACTTGATTAATTCTAAAACTCAAATTATCACTTAAAGATTAGTTCTCATTTATACTGAATTGGTGTCCCAGGAGAATGTAGCATAAATCATAGCATTTCTTGGGTTCTTAAATGTTCCTGGATATGACTTCTTTTCACGTATGTGCTAAGTTTCAAATAGATACTCACATTTCCTGCTCTCTTATTTCTTTTTCTTAAGTGTCTGAAACAGCTTAACTTCATTTCTGTTTCTTAACTTTGTGTCTGATCTTCTCACTATGTAAAACAGAATTATTTCAAGGAAGCTGATTTTTAACAGTAATTTAGCAGGTTAGAAATATAACAAAATATATAGTGCCACTGCATCAAAAAATGAAGAAGCTCCAACTCTGTGACAGTCTAGAAAAGGCAAAGCCATGGAGACAGTAAAAAGAAAATCAGTGGCTTCCAGTGGTTGAAGGGAGAGATGAAATCATAGAGGATCATGGAGCATTTTTCAAGTAATGAAGCTATTCTGAACACTACTATAATGGTGGATACATTTCATTACACATTTGTCCAAACCTATAGAATGTGTACCACCAAGAAATCTAGACTATAAACTCTGGGTGATGATGATGTGTTGATGTAGACTCATCAGTTGTGACAAATGTACCCTCTGTGGTGCAGCATGTTGATATTAGGGGAAGCTGGGAGTGCAGAGGTATGTTGGAAGTCTCTGTACTTTCAATTCTGTTTTGCTGTGAATTTAAAATTAAGTATATTTAAAGCAGGGGGAGAGGTTAGTGATGAGAAATGAAAACCATAAAGGATTTTGGAAAGACCTCTATAGTGTCCACTCTGGAAAGCTGTCCCCACCCAGGCTTTTGATGCCTTAAGAATGAGGTAGAGTGTTATCTTTGCTCTCTCTAAAGCATAGGTAGCTGCTGGGGAAGTTAAACACATAATCCAATGGTAAGTGACTATCACAGACTTAGTCATAATATCCTTTCCTTACCTCCAAGGACAACATAATTTCCAAGTCTTTAGTTGTGCTCTTAGAGAACATGGTTTAATACAAGACTAACCTTAAACTTCAGTCAGTCTAGCCCAGAGAAGTGATCCAAGCTTGTAATCCCAGCAGCTTGTTAGGCTGAGGCAGGAGGATCACAAGATTGAGACCAGCCTCCACAACCTAGGAAGACCCTGTCTCAAAATAAAAAATTAAAATGGGCTGGGGATATAACTCAATGGTAGTGTCTCCTGGTTTCAGTCCTCAATAGCACACACAAAAAAAGAACAAACATGTATTTATATATAAAAAAAAGATACAGCTCATCTGACATTACAGATCAGCATAGGCACAGGGAAGGGTACTCGGCTGTAAAATTAGCCTTCCAAATGCCTTTCAGGGTCAGCCTACTAGTGGTCTAAAATCAAGTTATTAATTGGAATTATCAAGAGTGTCTATTAAATGCCAAGTACTGATTTAGGCCCTGGGAATATAAGTCAGTGCTTCATTATACTATCTGTATTGTGCTCTGTGGCTTAGAAAGTGTGTTTCACATTCAGTATCTCCTTCTAAATTAAATTCTCTTTCAAAAATAAAACCATCCATTCCTACTTTACAGATGAGAAAACTGAACATAGCAAGTTGCCTTTGCTTATCACATATCTTCTGTTTTTAAGTCCTTTGTTTCTGTACAACATAATGGCAACTTCCAGGGCCTATTCCAGCCAGAACTGCAATCATGGAACCACACCAGTCCTCTTGAAATTGTGATCCAAGGAATATTTGAAAACTTCGTCCCCACGTGGTATAACCTAGTCTTGTGATCACACTGCCATCAATTAAAAAGAAATGGAACAATTATCAATCTGTGGCACACTTTCCCCACAACTAAAAGTACCTGGGCTTTACTTCTCTACTTCGGGTTCTGCTCCAAGTAGAGAAGTCAGGATTAGCTCAATGTAGTCTAATGAAGAAATAGAACAGCTTGAATGGACTTTCATGTGACAATCTCTTTCATTTCCCTTTCCCTGATTAATTTGCTAAAGCTAACATTTTATGAATATTTGGGAGAAGAGACTGATACATGACATAGGATAATGGATAGATTTCCATTATAATGGATAGAAAAAAAGCTATTAAAATATATGTCTAATGGGCCACTGGAATTTTACATGTTAGAAAACATTAATGTTGGGCTAGGAATATAGCTCAATGGTAGGGTGCTTGCCTAGCATACACAAAGACCTGGGTTCTGTTCTTACCAACATGAACTAAAAGGAAAAAAAAAGAATGCTATTTTCTTGGTAGAAAAGAGGAAGTATAAACTATAACTCCAAATCTGTTTGTAAATGGGAACCATAATATAGGTCAAGTGTCAGATTCTAATAATAGACTTAACCAAAATGTCCAAAATCTGGGAGTGCAAAATTAATAATTCAGTTGTTCCTACTAATATCAAAGAACTCCAGTATTGCTTGTTTGACAAACTATTTGTCTTCTGAACATTTACTGAGATGATATAAATAGAAATATATTAAATTGATATTTATTATGATTTTTTATTTCTATATTGTAGGCTGCTGTCCCACCCTACAGATGAACAGGTAACTGAACCTCCCATTTTTCTAAAAGTATGGAGTTGGTACACTATGCCTAGCCAGTAAACAGTATGGGAAAAAGATAAATGGTATATCCTCTGTGTACCAACCTTTCAACAATGTTCTAAATAATGGATTGCCTAAAGTTTTCATACATGTTGGAAAACATAAATGCCAACTATTTTCTTGCTAGTAGAAGGAGATGTAAAATATAAGTCCAAATCTATTTGTAAACAAGAACCATAATGTAAGTCAAGGGTCAGAAAGTAGCACAGCCTTGAGCAACTTGCTAAGAAAACAGCAGTTCTCACTTCTCTTGACATACTGTGAGACCTCGGCTCTCTTTCCTTTAGTTTTTCCTTATATAAAATGGAAAGGAAAAAAATGATCAGTTAGAAATAAACTAACATAAATGCTTATAGAATACAAATATAGTCTGATAACACTACAAGAAAGACCATAAATGCCTCTGTGCTTGAGTTACTCTGTGACTTAGCTATTAGGATATAAAATGAAGCCCACTGCTCTCTATTTTTTATGGTAGAGTAAACAAGGATGGAGCAGTTTTTAAAACTTTTTTACTTTATACTTCTCTGTGCTTAAATTTTCTATTTAGAAGTATAATCATGTTGTTTTATTATAAAAATTAAAAGCTGTAAGGATAGTGTTAGGATTATATCAAAGGTGGTAGGACTATGTGAATTTTGTTTCTTTAGTTTCCAGATAGTCTGAGTGTGGCTACAGTAGCTAAATATATATATAAATGCATTTTCCGGCCAGGCACCATAGCACACACCTATAATCCCAGGGACTCAGGAAGCTGAGGCAGGAGGACCAGAAGTTCAAAGCCAACCTCAGCAATTTAGTAAGGCCCTGTCTCAAAAAATAAAAAGGTCTGGGAGGATGAGGATCACTGGTTAAGCACTCCAGGATTTAATCCCCAAAACCAAAAAGAAAATGCATGTTCTGAAAGCATTCAAGTTTCTAGTGCTGAGGGAAAGTAACTGACTCACTGTGTGCTTTAGGATCAGCCGCTGCTCTCTGAAAAGCCACAGATATGTCAGCTATGCCAGGATGACAGCCTATCAAAGGTAAGTGGAGAGAAATGAACAGGTTCTTTATGAAGATGTTCTTTGCACCACTAGCCCCTTTCCAGGAATAGCAGGAACTTTGTTGTGTAGAGCAGAGTGCCAAGAGTCAGGTAGGAAGCCAAGGGAACAAGCATCTATCAGATACCTATTTTTTTTCAGTCATAGTAATTCATGTTGGCAAATTATATGAATAACTATACATATAATTTTAAGCAAATAATTTATTTAAACATACAGCATTTACCAAAGTGACTTCTAGTATTTCATCCAGCTCAGAACAAAGGGAAATGAGCTCTTCCCGTTGGACCACTTGTTTTTCCCGTGGTCCTTAGGTCTCTGCCTGAGTACATTTCCAGTTTGTTATAGTAGAGTGTAGACAGAGTGAAGGAAGCATTCAGAAAGGAATGTCCTCAACAACTGGGACTGCATCTTGCTAACCACAGTATCCTCAGCATCTAATATGGTACCCAATTTATAGTACATGCTCAAGAAATGTTAAGTACAAATGACTATAAAAAAAAAACAAGTGCTTGGAAGACATGAGAATTTTGCCCAAATTCTGGATTACATCACCATTTTTTATCATTCTGAATTTTAGCAAACAAAATTATTATTGTGACCTAGTCTTAGCTTAGCAGAACCAGATAACGGATGAACTGCTTTTATAGATTAGAAGTTGCAGATACAGAAAGATGTGCCAAAAGAGAAGAAACTGCTAATCAAATTCCAGCTTTTCTGAGCCATTCAAAGTAACTTCAACATGTCATAGGAAAAGGTTTCTCAGGCTTTCAGATGAAAGTGACCCCCACCTCCACTCCACTGCACCCTCAGGAAGATTGCTTGGGATGAAAGCAGTATTTCATGGGGGGAATTATTCTTCACAACCTTTTATGATGAGCTCTATATCCCCTGGTTGCAACCTTAGCAGTGACACTGCCATAGTGACAAACACGACTTCTAGTGCTTGGCCACTAAGACTCATAGAGTTTCCCTATAAACATGATGGAGCCAGCTGTGGGCCTGTCTCACTGATATCCCAAAGGATGTGCTTGTGGAGCATCACAAGAATGCATTAAGCACATGAATGTATTCAGAATCTTATTTTCGGTTCAAAGTTAGCAGTTTTTTTAATCTTAGGCTGTTCACTAAAGCCATTGCTAGGTCACTGCCTTAGTGCATGTGCTTAGGTACTTGCACTAAATTAGCCCCGCTGAAAATGAATGTCAGGATCACAAGTATGAAATGTAATCCAAAGACTGAACAATTTCTGTGTTACCTGTTCTTTTGAGTGTTGTGGCATTGCTGCTTCTCTTCATTTAGATCTAATAACATTTAGATCTTAGACTGTGAACTTGTTTGAGGATCAGAACTAAATTTAGTCAGCTACTACCTGGTACATAGCAGACATTCAGCCTGCACTTGATTAGGCATTGAGCACTTAGAATATTCAGCCTTTCTATCCCATGCATTCCTATGCCTTGCTCTTCTTTTTCCCACCTAACCTCCTCTTCTCCTTGTAGAATGTATGTAAGAACTGCAGAGGAACCTTCTGTAATGCTTGTTCAACAAACGAACTGCCTCTTCCCTCAAGTATCAAGCCTGAGCGAGTTTGCAATCCCTGTCACAAGCAGCTGATGAAGCAATATTCCACCAGCCCATCATAAGACTGGAGAAACCTGAACCAATCACTCACACAGGTGCATTCTGTACCTGTGTTAGATGTCAAGACCCCTAAAGCCCAATTCTTAAAATCAACTAAGTTGATAGGAATAATTTAGGTAAACCAGGTCCAGGGAAAAAAAGGCAGTGATTGGGTTTGCTGGAAATTTTGCTCAATTTCCCTAGTAATTGTATAAATAAAAAAAAGTTACTGAGTTGAGCCTTTCTTCTGTAAATCTAAACAACCCCATTTTGAAGGGGTTATTTTATTTTGTACCTTTGGAAAGGCTATTTTTATGAGTATGGGGTTGATATAATAGGAAGGGTGCAAGCATATACGAATTTAAAGAAAGGGGCTGGAGATGTGGCTCAGTTGTAGAGTGGCTGCTTAGCATGCACAAGACCCTTACTTTGATTCCCCAGAACCGCAGGGTGGGAAAAAAAAAAATAGAAAAGTGATCATCTCCCTCTATTACATTTGCTGTTTCAAGAAGGAAAGATAAATGTTAACTGAGGTCAAAATGATGTTACCTATTTTCCCAGGTGCTGCTAGACATAAACATTGTTTCCTCTTCACTCCCACTAACTACCTCTTCTTTACATATCTCTACCAAACTGTGAACCCCAACTCAGGGAAATTAGAGAGTAATATAAATTCTGAATGTACTGAAAATAATATTGTGTTAATATATTATAATTTCAGGATCAGAATTTTCTGGTCTTGACCTACAAGTATTTTCATTATTAGAACAAGAAAGAACATTGTTGTTTTTCCACTTAATGACTTCAAAAGTAAATATCTGCCTTTTTCAGAGTCCCCTACCACAAAACAAGCCATCTCTCTCCCAGTCCCTCCTTCCTCTCCGTGTCATAAGGGAAATTGTAAGCAAAGCTAAGTCAAGTATGAAGCAGGTTTAATTTGTTGATGGCTGAGAACAGTTAGTTCATATTTATTAAATTATTCCTTGAATAAGGAACTCCTTATTCTGAACCAAGAATCAGAACTGGCAGACTGGTTTCTTGGAAAGGGCAATACTCAGACATCTCTTAGTAACAGACTGGAAAAAGGCAAGTGCACTCAGCAAGGAAAGAAATGATTATGTTATATATGTCTAGATTGTTTGATTCCAATTAAGACCTGAGAAGAAATTATTCTGTGGCTGGTTTAGAATTCAGGGGTAAAAACATCCTGGAACCATGTTATTTGATAAATTCTATCTCTGAAAAGGGTTACAGTCTGGGAAAGAGTTGTTATTCCAGAAGTCTATAGACTGTTACATGGTGAAGCTAAAGTTTAAAAATACCTGAGGAAAATAAAAATTAATAATTCTAGTTTAGTTTGTTGTCTCCTTTTTCCTTTAAATAATTTTGTGTGTGAGAGGGCCTTCCTTTTTTAGGGGGGGGAAGTAGGTGGAATGGGGTATCTGTATGAGCCAGCATTGTTTTAGGTGCTGCACACAGAATGAGGGAAACAAAAGTGAACAAAATGGGAATTATCCTTAGTTGGCAAATGTTATTTTATAATTAAGTTTTGCATTAAATTGAAAAGAGGCAACTCCATAATTAGAAATATAAGGAAGAATAAGTAATTAATTAATTGAGTTTTCGTTTAGAATTTCACAGAGCTGCATGCCAGGATACTGGCAACTCGTGAGGCTGAAGCAGGAGGATCAAAACTTCAAGGCCAGACTCAGCAATTTAGCAAGACCCTGTCTCATTAGGATGCAGCACAGCAGTAGAGCACTCCTGAGTTCACAAAAAAAAAAAAAAAGGTTTTTTTGCACATAGCTAGTTAGCCTTTTTTTATACACTAAAAACTACAAAATGTTGCCATACAAAATGGTGCAGTGACTGGGAACAGTATGACAGTTTCTAAAATTGAACAGATTGCCAGTAAGCCCATTTCTGTATATATATCCAAAAGAATATAAAGCAGTGTCTCCTAAAGATATTTGTATATTCATCATGTTCATAGCAGCATTAGTCATAGTAGCAAAAAGATGTGAGATAGATAGATAGATATATAAAACACACACACACACACACACACAGTGAAATATTACAGCCATAAAAACAAAAGAACCAGACATGATGGCACACACTTGTAATCCCAGTAACTCAGGAGGCTGTGGCAGGAGGATCACATTATGTTCAAGGCACCCTCAGCAAATTGAGGCTTTTATCTCAAAATTTAAAAAGAGTACTAGTGTACCTCAGTGGTAGAGTGCCCCTGGATTCAATCCCCAGTATTGCTAAAAAAATAAAAATAAAGGAGCCAGAGGAGAGCTGGGAATATAACTAAGTGGTAAAGAACTTGACTAGCATGCACAAAACCTGAGTTTGATCCTCAGTCCCACAAAAAAAGAAAATTGAAAAGGAGTCCAAGGGCTTCTCTGAAAAATGGCTGGTTCCAGGTCTGGGGCATCTTGTATTGCCTGAAAGTAAGGAAGTGTACACTACAAAAAGGACAAAGGAGTCTACTGAAGAATCTCCCAATGGCCAAAAATGAAACATTCTGAGCAACAAAGTAACATTATAGGAGTATAGCCTAAAGACAAGTATCCTGAGTCCGTATTGATATAAATGACCAAATAAAGACATGACACATCTCCCATACAGAAAATTTTCAATTTATGTAAGTAAATCCATCCACTTCAAGGTGAATGGGCTTAATTCCCCACCTCTTGGGTATGGACTGTGTTCAGTAGGTTCATTCAAAATATTAGGATATGGCGAGAAGAATAATTATAATAACCTGGCCAAGGTCATCAGAATTTGCAGTGACATCGATAATATGTACCCCTTAATGTGATATGAAGAGAATGGTCTTCCCAAAAAGCTCCAGGCCAAGCAGAAGAAAAAAAAAAAAAAAATCCCTATGTGAGAGACATTCTACAAAATAACTGACCTTTGCTCTTCAAATCATCAAAGTCATCAAAAACAAAACATCTGAGGTGTTTAAGGCTATATAACTAAATGTAATGTGAAAGTCCCTAAAATGAAAAGGGTATTAGAAAAAAGCTAAGAAAATTTGAAGTGTGGAAAAGTAATTTGTCAATGTTGATTCCTTAATTGTGACAGATATATTAACAGTGTGATAACAGTAGGCAAAACAGGTAAGGTGTATATAGGAATCCTACTATTTTTATGTCCTATGTATCTAAAACTCTTCTAAAATTAATCCTTAGTACCAAAAAACAAACAAACAAAAAACTAAGCCAGGCACAGTGGCACACACCTACAATCCCAACAATTTGGGAGCCTGACACATGAAGATCCCAAATTCCAGGCCAGCCACAGAAAATCTACAAGACCCTGCCTCAAATGTAAAAAGGACTAGATAAAGTACCCCAGGTTCAATCCCTAGTACAAAAGAGGAGAATTTTTTTTTAATATTTTAAACTGCTTTCATATATATCTAACCTTATAAAACCTGACTAACCTCACTGAAAGCAATTTATGTCCAAATAGGATCTAAAGACTTTTCAGGGTTAAGTAGATGTAGAAATGTGATGATTAGAATCATTTGTCTTAAGTTATAAAATGTATTATGGGGGCTCCGGGATGTGGCTCAAGTGGTAGCACGCTCGCCTGGCATGCGTGAGGCACTGGGTTCGATCCTCAGCACCACATTAAAAAAAAAAAAAAGATATTGTGTCCACCTAAAAACCTAAAAAATAAATATTAATAAAAATAAAAATGTATTTTGAAACTCTTCAAGGGAATTTACCCATTCCCCGAAAGGACTCCAGATATGGCCTAGTGGTTTTTAAGTAGTTCTCTGGGCCATTGTCCACTACAGCTTCATTTCAGCTTTGATAACAAAAAAAAAAAAAAAAGTAAAGTATTTTTAAAGAATTATATTTCAGAAGTATAGTAAGCGGCCCTGTTTGGATTTATAGTACAACTTCTTTTAAATAACTTAGCTTAATATAGTTCCCCAAATGTTCTCCAAGGTCAACTCTCACTGATTCTTAGAAATTTGTTGGCTTGAGAACTGTCAAACATTAAGGTCTTCTATTTTATTCTCAACCTAAGGACAGGTTGATTTCATGTTTAACACATTGATTACCTTTGTGTTACTTTTGCAGCCAGTCAATATAGCAAATCAGAAACGAAATATCTGACAAGCACAATTTTTACACATAAAGACACAAACTTTATTCAGTTTATTATCTTTGAAATGTAAAATTAATTTAAAAATAGAATCCATAAGTAGTTATAAGCATTACTTAAGATAATTAACTCTTACGAGTTAATTAAGATGGTAAGAAGTAACTCCAGCCTCCAGTGGGCAAGCAGATTAAAAGGCTACACAAGTCTCCAGGAAGCATTAATGCCTTACCTCTGAGGATACCGCTTTCTAACACAAAAGTATCATTCATATTCAATGATAAGGTTAATCACAAATAAGACATTCTTATAGGTAAGAGCAGGTTAAAAACTACTATGATACATAACCTGTATTCCCTGACTTACTTTCTTATGAAAATGAGGAATGAATGGAATTACAGGCAGCTGACCAGAAAGTCTACCAGAAATTATGAATATCTCAAGTCTCTTAACTCTAGATCTTTATTCCCAAATGTTTGCCATTTTCTGTCAAATGGTAGAAGAAAGCTTTATTTCAGTTAGAAACAGATGTTTTGGGATCAGAAATCTTTGAACATACCTATTAACTTTACCTGTAGGCTTCAGAATAAGATTCTTACCCCCAACAACCACTACCCATCCAATAGTGCTAGGGATCCAACCCAGGATCTAACCTAGTGTATACTAGTAAGCACTTGATTATCCTTGTGAATGTCATTGAGCCCATCCATATTCTAATCTACCTGGCTTAACACCTTTATGCCTTACCACCAGGCACCTTCAGAATCATTTCACTGAGATACCTAATTCTGACACAAAACCAGAAATCATAAAAGGGGAGATTTATGAATCTATGCCAGACATGGTAGCATGTGCCTATAATCCAATCACTCAGGAGACTGAGACAGGAGAATCTCACATTCAAGGCCAGCCTGGGCAAATTAGTGAGATTCTGTCTCAAAAAGGGCTGGGGATGTAGTTCAATAATTGAGTGTGGAGGCCCTGGGTTGTATCCACAACACCAAAAAAAGGAAAAAAAAAAAAAAAAAAAAAGTTTCAGACATGTAAAAACAATTCCTGACACAATAAGAAATGAGAACACACTAAAAGCAAAAGGTATATAAAGCTCACTACAGTAATAATAAGGGACTCTTGAAATTAAAACACCAAACCCAATTTTTAAAAGGGATCAATAAACATCAAACAGGCAATCAGCAAAATTCAGACTGGAAATTTACAGGTTAATCTTATTCAACAAATAAGAAAAAAATATATGGGGAAATGTACCAATTAAGAAAAATAAACAGGCATTCAAGTTCACTAAAGGCCCAATAAGGTTATGAAAAAGGGTTCATTAACAGTTTCAAGAGAAAGCAAATTAAAAACATACAACACAACATACAATGGCTAACCTTATAGACTAGCAACACCCAACAGTTAGAATGTACTTAGAATTCTGTGGGAATGTAAAATAGGAGGGCCACTATAAAAAAAGCTATGTAAGACCCTAATTTAAAATATATCACTCTTGCAACTCGAGATCTTCTACTCCTAGACATTTACCCCAAATAAATTAAAATGAAAGGTGCACAAAAAGGCTTGTAGAAGATGTTCAAAGCAACTTTATTCATAACAGCCAAAACCTGGAACCAGCTCATCAACTGCTCACCTAACAGGTAAAGGTTCAACTGTGGCATATTCATATTCATACAATGGAATACTAATCAGCAATGAAAAGGAACAGAGAGGTGAAACACACAAAAGAATCGCAAATGCTGAAACTTACACAAGCATACACATCATATATAAGCATATGTACTATATGATTCCAATTAATTTCTAAAATAAGCAAAACTAATCTGTGGTCAACAAAATCCTAACAATGGATACTTGCATGGGAAGAGAACAAAGTACAGGAATGGTACAGGAACTGACCAGGTAAAAAATTTTCTCCAGCAACGCTAAGGTAGGAGGATCAAGAGTTCAAAGCCAGCCTCAGCAACTTAGAAAGATTCTTGTCTCTAAATAAAATACAAAAAAAGGGCTGAGGATGTGGCTTAGTGGTTAAGCGCCTCTGGGTTCAATTCCCAGTACCAATCAATCAATCAATCAATAAACAAAATTCTAATGTGATGGAAATGTTTCATAGCTTGCTAAGGGCTTGAGTTACACAATTGCACAAATACACAGAACACAGGCTGAGAAAGGAGGATCTCGAGTTCAAAGCCAACCTCAGCAAAAGTGA